GAAACCCGAGTATCGCTAAACCACCAAAAGAGGACTTTCTTATTCACAACGGTTTCAAGAAACGAATTCCCCGCAATCAACACAACCCATCTGGGGTAAAATATTCACACCACAACGTCATTACTAAAACTTTGAAATGTAGCTTTAGAGAATATTGGGGTCCCTGTATTAGGGAGTGGCGCCATCGACAGTGGGGCCGCGCGTGCCGACTGTAGGATGGTTTTTTAGCGCTAATTTCGGGCCAGCACAATTTTCTTCAAAGCAAACAAATAGATATTAAGTATCCTTTCCGACCTCTGATTGCAACAAAAAATTGTAAGCTTACTCACTAGCATTCAAGAGGAAAGTGTCCGAAAGTTTAAAGCATATCCAACCATCAGACATTATTGTGACAGCTAAAAGCAGCGTATTTGTCCCCATTTTGCTCACTATATCAACTCTCTGATATCCACAAATTTTTCGGACAGTTGTGAAAGCCCTATTGGAAAGGTCGTCGCCAATTTTCAGAATGATCTCATTCAAGGAACTGAAGATATATCCAATAATAGACACAAAAATCACGAATTTGGTCAAATTTGGTCAAATTACGCGACTTTTACAGCTAATTTTGCTCCAAAAGCCGCGCACACATCAAATATGGCACCTAGGCAAAACTCACTGATCTTCCAAAAAGGTATGAAAAATTTGGGAACCGTGAAAATCTCACAGCCCTCTAGAAAACAAGGGTACAAAAATTTTAAAAATCCGAGCAAGTTTATTTTTATTGGGGCAAACCCCCTACCTGTATCAACACTCTCACGGAAATTAGAATTCTATCGTGACCTAAAATCAAAAATTTTAAAAAAGAGTATTACCAAGAGTATACCCATAGACAGTGTCATTAGGGATGCGCCATCGACAGTGAGCCGCGCGTGCCGACTGTAGGATGGTTTTTTTAGCGCTAATTTCGGCCAGCACAATTTTCTTCAAACAAATAAATATTGAGTATCCTTCCCGACCTCCAATTGCAACAAAAATTAGTAAGCTTACTCATAGACTTAAAAAGGGAAAGTGTCCGAAAAATTTAAAGCATATCCAAATCAAACCATTATGTTACAGCTAAAAGCAGCGTATTTTGCCCCATTTTGATCACAGTATCAACTCCGATATCCACCAAATTTTTCGGACAGTGTAAAATCTAATGGTGAAGGTCGCGCTAATTTCAGAATGAAACTCATTTAAGGAGACTGAAGAAAAACCAGAAAAATCGTACAAAAAATGTGTCCAAAATTGGACGAATTATGGTCAAATTACGCGACTTTTACGCTACTATTTGTCTCCAAAAGCCGCGCACCATCAAATATGGAAGGTGCACTTATCGCAATTCATCAGATCTTTCCCCAAGAAGTATGACAAATTTGTATTGATGAAAATTCCACACTCACAGTCTCTAGAAAACACAGGTACAAAAACTTTATACAATCCGAGCAAGTTTAATTTTATCGTGCACCTCCTAGTTCCTTAAATATCAGACCGATGCTAATAACACAAGACAGCAGATACGTGCACATCGACTCGAATTGAACTTGGCCGAAATAAACAAACTCCTCGTGATTAGCTAATATCTCCGGTGCATTAAGTTATATGTCAGTATAATTGAGATGAAGATCACTTCCTTTAACCATTGTGATCAAACGCATTGCATCGAGGCGAAAAGTCCTATAAAAGGGGACACAGATCCATTCACACATAATCAAATCCAATCAAACCATCAGCGACATCTTATACTGTTCACACACTGTCAACCCTTGAGCAAACTACCTCAAAATACAACATTCAACAACCTTTAAATCATTGAATTAATCACTAACGAAAGTCAAAGCCCACCTCAACGAAGATGTCGTTTTGCTATATTTTGCCACTACGTGAATTAACAACCGCAAGAAATTCGTCTGACTCTCTGGCCAATACATGAACACTGAAAATCACTGAACCAGCGCTTATGTTTCTTTTCGCGCAACATCTAGTGCAAAGTGGCCATGGCTCAATACAAGCATTACAGCATTATCAAGCTGACTGAAAACAAAAATATATGTTGTCAAAATCTTTTATTTTTTCACTTTTAAGTTTATAGATATATTAATATAATAAATTCACCATCTACAGAAATTGTAATTATCATAACAGTTACTAAATGTAGCTCAAGATATTAAATTTGTATTCCATGTTAGTTCCTTGTATATCCATAACAACAAACTAATATTTAAAGCGAGACGAATTATAAGGATATGAAGTGCATGTGATACGTACCATTTTACAACACACGGCATCAACTTAACGCGACTTTCCGCAAAACCTTAAAATAAAAATACAAGCTAAAACTTTTTGACATGAGGTGTTGCTTCACAATAGCTGGCGCTATCTAGCCCAAAAATAATTGTTACCATCAACATCGCTTGAGATAGCCAACCAGGAGATTTCCCCCGAGGAAACTGTTCTTTGAGGTCGAAGTCTTTTCGCAAGATAACTTTTATTTGTATGCGGTCTCGTATGTGATACCTTCCACAGACCCTAGTAGAGAAGGTGGCATTTAAGGTTGAATTGATATTTTACCAGTGATTTTGCATATCTTATGTGAAATAAATTTCAAGAAAACCAATTAATATCTAATTAACATCAAATAATTAACTGCAAGTTTGAACTGCCAGGAAGGGGGGGGACTAGAGGGGGGGTGGGGAGGGGGGGTTTTAGGTACGCGAACGTTTGAGACACTCGCTACTTAGCCTCAATGAAACAGACAAATTTGGGCGTTAGCCTCGCAGTAGCCGCTCAGATATTTACCAGCTTATCTTGCGACTACAAGGACCCCCAGTAAAAAATATATCCATTACCTCAGCATTAAAGCAGGAACCCCGTATAACCTTAAATGTGTGACAAGACTCAAGACTCAAAAGACAAAAATAATTATTACCTATTAATTCGCGTTTTTGACATCACTTTATTACTCAATTGCTTTCTGTTTACAGCACTTTTAAAGCTCCTCGATTTACCACTGACACCGTGACGTGTTTTGCTTTTAATCGCTTAGCGTGGCCATTATAGTGGTGCAGGAACTGTTCCTGCCCCTCCGCCTAACCCTAACACAATTCCTGTACATATTTTGAACTGGAATTGGGACTGGATTTGATTCTTTTTTTGGCTTAAAATGACCGGGTTTGTGGTTCTACTCGCCTATATATCGTACAACGATCAGGGACCCGATTATGTATAACATCATTTGTAATGATACCTACACACTCAACCACCCTAGTAAACTGCACATCTTCGCTCCTCATTTTAAATTAACTTTAGTCATTTTACCTTACACGCCAGACGTACTTCCGTGTCTTGGAACTTACTCATAATATATACCGATTCAACTCACTAATTGAATAAGACGTATTGTTTAAAAGTACTTGTTATATTTCGAAGAGTGAACTGCAGAGGCACCACCCCAGAACCTAAAAATAGACTTGGGCTCATGGCCATGTTTATGTTGATTGCTTTTGAATTCTTGAGTGTCTCTAAATATGTAAACATGATACTGATAGGAATGTAATAGTGCCCCAACGCCCTATTTTATTTGATGAGTGGACTTTGCAAGATTTGTGTTGAAGATTTTTTCGATTACCATTTTATTGATCGCTCCGAATATTTAGTGGTAGTAGTCAGTGCCAGGGTTACTAGGTATCTCCTCGCTTGTGGCCACGTTCGTCGCGCTCGCGTGCCTGCGCTCGCTTTTTCCGAGACCCGTCCGACCCAATGCGGCAGAGCCGACTTTCCGCGTATCACTAAGAAGCAATAGAAACGCCCATTCTCGAATATTCTATCACCTCACCAACTCTCACACATACCAGTATGCCATAATTAAAATTAGGGGAGAAACATTGGAATCAAAATTTGAGCAAAATTTAAGACCAATTTTAAGTGTAAAAAAACACTTTGACAAAGTATCAGGTTTTTTTGACATTTGTTTTTATGATGGTCCGTTTTGCTCTATCGTCGGCACATTGAATTCTCTAAATTTCATTTGAAACCTTTGATACCTACATTCAACTGGGGGGACGCTTATTATACGAGAAAAAAAGTATATCTACCTAGACCACCTTGGGGTTGAGTGGGGGTTTGTTTGGGTGGCCAATCCTCATCAGCAACTTCAATTTTTTTATGTCTAAAATAAGATCTCTCCGATTAACTCCAGATCACAGAACTCAAACAGCACTCCTAAGAAAGCACACCCCACGGAAAACTCTTTTCAAGCAGTCAACCATCTCGCTTACCAAAAACCTTAAGTCCGTACTGAATCCGGAGAGAGATCTCGCGCAGAATGAGAGTTACTCCGAGCCAGAGCAGCAGTGGCCATCTGGAGTGTAAATGTGATGAGTGCAGGTGAGAGGAGTGTCAGATGACGAAGGAAGTTAGTGAGTGTAGTCGAGTCAAGACAAGAGGAAAAGAAACAGTCCAAATAAACCAAAGGCCATCACGGAGAACGGGTATACATCCTGGATCAAAGGAAAAAGAAATGTACTTTACACTACATCGAGGATTTTATTGACTTCGACGCCGCTGAACGGCTGCTTAGTGAGCTGAATGTTGATATATCGAATTACCCTAACCAAACGAGTAGCCGTCAAGAGATAAATCTGGAGATCGAGATGATTGCGTAGAGTCTGAGGGTCATCCAGATGACTCGACCCCGGAGAGTAACCTTAGAAATCAGATCAGCTACCTCACCAAGAAAATCGAGAAATCAGCGAGCTCAATATTTGAAATTAATACAACTATCACCAACATAGTATTCAGGCCGACTCCCAAGTTATAACGATCTTATCCCCTACGAAACACTAGCTGAATACATGGGGCGAAACCCACAGTTGCCCAGTCTTTCCCCTTGGGCCCCAAGATCACTCAAACTGAAACGGGGAACTAAAGTAACCCATTTGGTGCCCATGCCACTCAGGATCCTCTGTGTGTTCTCTCAGGAAATTCCACTCTTGAGTACATGGCATCCATACCTAGAGGAAAGAGTGATATTCAAAACGAACAACTTCTTCTTTTTTTCATGGATCTCCTTCCAACTGCGATCGAGGAAAATGTGTAAGTGACCAGACCTCAGTCTCATCTCTGTCAGAAACGGCTCCCTCTCAATCTTCTACAGATGGTGGATTTAGTGTAGATGACCCTTTCAGACCTGACTTTATAACTTAGAAATAGATACTGGACTACAAATGACCCTTAACAAGACGACGGAGATACCTGACATTATTACACATCAGCAACTTCAAGGATCTAATGTAGATGATCCCTTCAGACCTGACTTTAACTTAGAAAAAAGATAATGGACTACAAATGACCTTTAACAAGACGACCGGATATCCCTGACATTATTATCACCTCAACCAGCGGTCCCTGATATCAAACTGACCGAAGCGCAGACCTCTTACTTAACTGAGCAAGGCAGATCTAGTTTGTTGGATAGTAATCCAATCATCAGGTCGCCCTCTGCGTCACTTCATCTGGATGTTAACAAAGATGATCTCAACGTTGGCCCTGCAACTCCCGAAGACACCGAAAGGACAGTTATTCTTATGGAGAACCACACGGTCGCTCCCGAGACACTTATTACTTGTGTTTGCTCATCTTCCTGAACCCATCCTCAACGAGGAACTAACGAGGAATGGTTGCTCCACAGAAGGATCTGTTTACAGAAAGGAGAGCAAGAATGATGAATGTGATGTCTAGACCCGAAGAACCAGCAAGGAAATCTCTGAATAGGGACTTAGATTCGAAACTCCCCTCTCTCGCATGGGTCCAGACTGTTATCGAAAACCAAGTTATTGACGTAAGCAGGAGTTGGAGAAACTTACATCTGAGGTTAACAGCCTTAAGTGCTCCGATACTAGCATCCAGCAAATCGAAAAACTACTAGAGGTTGGCAAGAAGGAAATGCAAAAGGTCAAAGACCTCTGGGAGAAAAACTTGTCAGCTACCACACGGATCAAAAACAGAGTAGACGAAGTTTTCACGGAGATTTCTATAGCGGAAACGAAAACGGACGAAGTAGACAAAAGTGTTCAAAAACTAAAGTTTGACCTCAAAAAACTACTACAACAGTGCATTCTTTCGGGAAGACGGACAGCTGATTAAAGAAATTCACAAAATAGTCACTAGTCAGAAGGATGGAATGGCGTGAGTACCGATGTCCACCTGACTATTCCCCTAATGACGATGATTTATCACACACTCCACCCTACCAACCTCCCTCACCCTTTCGAGATCAAAGAACTCACAGTAGAGAAAACAACCTGCTGGTCCCCGAAGAAACAATGGATTCAGCATGACTTCCTCGGCCTCTCGAGCTCAGAATCTCTACTCAAGCTCAGAACTCCAACTTTACCAGAACTCAGAACCTCAATTTCACCAGGACTCAGAACTCCGACTTCACCACTCGTCAAACTTCAGGATCCACCACACCCTCAAAAGTGTTCAAGACGACCCTCATCTCAGACTCAATCCTGAGACATGTCCAGGGTATGGACACCAAGAATGCTCTCGGAAAGAACCATGAATTGACCCTAATCAACAAGCGGGACACAGGTGGACTTAAAGACCAACATGTCAAAGGACGAATTATTAAGAACACAACCTGATTTCATCTATGTTCACCTAGGAGTCAATGATGCCAACCAAAACTTCGACCTAAGGGTAAGTCTCGACAACATATTTCAATTTTCACTATTCGTAGAGGAATCCCTGATAGGTACAAAGTTATTCTTCTCAATGCCCGCTATGACATCTGACAATGAAGCGAACGCAAGGATTGGGGAGATAAGGGATGCAATTTGGGGAATTTGTGACCGTAACTAATAAAACGAACGCAAACCCTTCAAAGAGCGGTCTTTGTATTATAACCCCAACGCAAACTTCATGCATGATGATCATCTGATAGGAGAATATCACACGAACGATGGAGTCCACCTTTCAACAAGAGGCAAAGAGGTCATTCTAGGAAACTTCCGTCACAGCATCCATGAAATGACAAGGACTGCTTCTCAACAAGCCAAAGAAAAGTCCGTTCTACAGGGGGATTGGACCTTCTCTCCTCTTAGTCGAATGTGATTACAGCTGACATAGATTCTCATTTATACACATTATACCATGACTAGAAACACACAAAAAAATACACAGGTTTCAATTAATAAAAATAGCATAAAATACTTTCTTGGAATATCCAATCGCCTTCATCAGTAGATGGGAGCAAATTTGAAATAGAATCATTTCAAAATGTTATCAAAGATCATGACATAGCCTGTCTTCAGGAAATTAGGAGAGAGGTTCACTTGGTAGGATATCGATCAATCTGCAACATAAGGAAAAGACGGTAAATCAGGAGGTGTCGGTATCCTCATTAAAATGAGCTTATTGAAGGGATTGAGTTTATCAAGAATACAGAGTGTTCAGACTACCTAGTTTGTCGACTAGACAAGGATTCTTTAACCTATCAGAAGATACATTTATAGTTAACGTTTTACATTAGACCATTTAATTCATCAGCTTCAAACCCGACTGACAATGGCAAAGATGCTCTAAAAAACATTGAAGACGTTGTGAACGAACTTCGGGAGGAGGGCGAAGTCATATTGTGTGGGACTTTAACTCTCGTATAGGACAAAAAACGGGTATGATAAGAGAAGACTCAACCAACGTTGTTCCCTTACCAGACGATTAAGAGCCTGACAACTTTCTCCCCCGAAACTCACTAGACTCTATCACAAATACTTACGGTACACACTTTCTTAACCTAGTCAAACATAACCAACTCACTATTCTGAATGGCCGTACCCTAGGAGATCTTGTAGGAAACTTCACAAGTATCCAAAAAAATGGGTGCAGCGTTATTGATTACATTGCAGTGACCAACTCCACAAAGATCAGAATCAACTACTTCAAAATCTTGACATTCACCGAGCATTCTGATCATAAGCCCCTCAGTACTGAATTACAATGCAATAGATTCGCGATCAACAAATGCGCCCCATTACAGGACACTTATCAGACAGCGCCAACCAGATACATTATCAACGAAGAGAACAAGACGACTTTTTCGAAGCTCAGTCAGAAAATCTATCATTGACCTTAATCCATGAACTTCAATCGAACATCGACTTACTCACCAATCAAAATATTTTAGCAGACAATGACCGTAATTATGAAACTGAACTCAAAGACATTAACAAACGACTTTCAGAACACCTTCGCGACATGGCCTCGAAGTGTTTCAAACAAACCAAGCCACCCAAAAAATCTCACACCTCAAACAAACCTTGGTTTAACTGGAAAACGAGATTAGGTAAAAGAGAATTTCGTTAAAGCTACAGATGCAACCTCAAAATTCCCGTCAAACAACCTTATACGTGAAAACTATTATCTTGTCAAGGGTAGCTATAAGCGTTTGAAGAACTCTGCCAAAAACGAATTCTTCGCACGTATGAATGAGGACATAGAGGGGGGGAAAATTCTCAACTGGCAATCTTTCAAAAAACTAAAAAATCAGAAAAAGGAAACTTTAAATTTTGACAGTCATGATATGAATAGATTCGAGACTTTTTTTGGTAACCTATATTCCGATAACCACAAAACAATAAATGAAAATAAAAAAGTTTCTATGATTGATCAAGCTGACTTGATAAATCAAGGTGCAACTCATCCTGAGTCACTCAACTCCTTAATCACCAAAACAGAACTTGACTCTAGTATAAAATCCCTAAAAAATGGTAAAGCTTCCTCACTCGACATGATTAATAACGAAATTATAAAATCTCTGGACACCAATCATAAATTGATTATGTTGAACCTCTTCAACGCCTGCTTCTCACAAGGAATTTATCCCTGGAACGTCAGCATTATATCTCCACTTCATAAAAAGGGTAATAAATCAGATCCTGACAACTACCGTGCAGTTGCTGTCAGCAGTGTCATAGGAAAACTATTTTCAACTATTCTCTTAGAACGACTCATTCGCTTCCGCTCTGAAAACTGCCCTGATCCACCTAACCAACTAGGCTTCACAAAGAAAGCTCAAACATACGATCACATACTAACCATGAAAACTATAGCTTCAAAATATAAACTTTTGGGGAAACCTGTATATGCAGTATTTGTTGATTTTAAAAAAGCATTCGACTCAGTCTGCCGTCAAGCCCTTTTCCTCAAACTCGCAAAAAATGGCATAACTGGAAACTTCTACAATGTCCTCAAAAATATGTACTCAAACTCGTACGCTTACATAAAATTATCTGGTCACCTCAGTAAACGCTTCCAGATACGTAAAGGTACAGAACAAGGTCACCCACTCTCACCTGATCTTTTTAAAGTTTTTCTCAGTGATATGTCCTGCCTCCTAGATTTTCCAAATTGCCCCGTACTTTCAAATTTGACTGTTAGCCACCTACTGTGGGCGGATGACCTTATACTCCTTTCACTCGACCAGGAAACCACTCAAAAGCAACTTAATATTCTCGGTAATTTTTGTAAGGAGTGGGGCATTGAAATCAATGAACTCAAAACTCAAGCAGTCATCTTTGGTAAGAAAACGTTAAAACAGGACATACAAAACATCAAATTTACACTCAACGGATCTAATCTTGAAATTGTTGACAGTTATTGTTACCTTGGATTTGAACTTCATCAATCGGGTCAAGTACAGATCGCTCAACAAAACCTTAAAACCAAAGCAATGCGTGCATTTTTTGGCCTGAAAAGGGTTGTCATGCGTTCAAAGTTATCTTTTAAAGCACTCCTTACACTGTTCGACTCTCTCATCAAGCCCATTCTATTATATGGTGCTCCGATATGGACACCCACTAGTACGATCAATAAATCTCTTTGCAAAACGATTAACTCGACAGAAGCAACCGCTACTAACTTACTTAAAAAAATCAGCGCCTCTCTGCAAGAAAGAGTGCATATTTCATTCCTAAAATGGGCATTGGGAGTCCATCGTAAAGCATCAAATGTAGGTGTTTGGGGAGAAACAGGAAGAATTCCTTTGATTTATCAATCAATTCGCTTAACGTTAAATTACTTCAAAAGGCTAAATACAAAATCAAAGTCGAATTCGTTTGTCACTGCAGCCATAAAAGAACAAAAATCACTAAACTTACCTTGGTATCGATACATAAAACCACTCCTTGAACTAGATGAAATTTACAAACTAGATCACGTAACTGCGCACCGAATTCTCAATACAAATGCAGCTAACAAAGCCGCGCCCAACCCTGTAAGTGATCACAAATTATTAAAAGACTCCCTCATAAATCAGTCAAATTTTAGTCAATCCATCAAACCACTATGCAGCAAAAAGTATAGAATTCCTAAAATCATCGAAGCTCTAACCAATCAATTCAAAAAATGTTGGCAATATCAAAAATCTACTTCTTCTAAACTCTCATTCTATCACTCAATCAAACACACCTTCAACCGAGAGCCCTACTTATACTTATGCAAAGGCTTTTCTCGTCGTTACAGTACCACAAAACTTAGAATCAGCGCACATGATCTCCATATTGAAAGAGGCAGATACTCCAACACACCCCGTGAGCAAAGACTATGTGGTTGGTGCCAATCAAGTATGGGCGTTGAGACCATC